AACAGCGACAGGAAGTACACATAATGCCCGGCAGCCCTGTACGAAGTGCTGTGTATCGCATTTCAAGCGTTGGGGAGAGGGTGATTTTTTTGGGGCGGGGGCACATCGAAGTCAAACACGCTCTCTCAAGTAGAAGCAGATAATAAAATACTCTTTCTTGCGGCGCGTCACCAGAAGGCAACAGCAGCGTGCTCTTCCTCCTCTCTGCCCTTTGCTGGCGGTGCTGCCACCTCCTCTACGTCGTCGGTTGCTGCGGTTCGTTCCGGCGCTCTTTCTCCCCCTTGCCTCAACCTCTGTGTGTGACGGGCGCGTGTTGCTGACCTAAAGCCGCGCAACAACCAACCCCAACTTGGTTTTCTGACCGTGCAGCCTCCCCCTTTCTGTGTTGGTGGCGCGCCAACTCCAGGGCATTTGCGCTGGGCGCTGGGTTTTATGTGGGCGGCCGCTGGACATGCTCTTGCAGACTGTGTGTGTGCGTGTGGGTGGCGCCTGATGATCTGTTGTGTGTGGTGCCTGATGTGTTATTTCAAAGAAAGCTGCTAAATCGAAAAGTTGGCAAAATTTTCCACAAAACCAGCCTCCCTCCGCTGTTAAATCTGATTATTTTTCCCTTATCTTGGGTTCTGGCGAGACTGTCAGGAACGATCCTCAGAACGATGGCTTAACTCAAAATATATTTCCTTATTTCAGTTTTTTTTTGGTTCCGAAACTGTCAATTATTCATACGAGAAAAGATAAAGATATGTTACTCATATGAGAAAAGAGCCGCGTGACACACGTGTAAAAATTATAGGTATTATTGTGTGTGTGACAGAGGGAGATAGAGAGACAGAAAAAGAGAGACAGGAAACAAATGAGAGAGGGAGAAGGCAGAGAAAGACACACAGACAGACACAGAGACGGAGAGAGAATCACAGATACAGACAGAGAGAGAACGGGGAAAAAATAAATATACCTGGTACCATAATAATAAAGTTGTACCGCCCATCCATTCGGACTCTGGTTCCGATTCTAATTCCGAGAGAGGAGAGAGAGAAAAAGCGCCGAAGAGCGAGAGAGAGAGAGCGTCTCTCACGACTCGACGGACGGCGAGACAGCGAGACCGGTAGAGAAAAAAGAAGGCAGAGACGAACGGAATGGCATTGGAGAGGACGATAGAGCACATCGGAGCGAAGGAACTGCGCTCCGAGCGTCAAAATTGCGAAAACTGCAAAATGCGAAATGCTGGCCTGTCAGCGCTCGAACGGTCCGGACTATACTCTGAAACCAAGTTAATACGCGTGGTGGCCTGAGAGCGCTCGAGAGAGCGTTTCCCGGCCCGGAGAAAATGCTGCGATTCTAGGAAAAAGATAAATGAAATAATTGTAGCTCCGAGCGTCAAAATTGCGAAAACTGCAAAATGCGAAATGCTGGCCTGTCAGCGCTCGAACGGTCCGGACTATACTCTGAAACCAAGTGAATACGCGTGGTGGCCTGAGAGCGCTCGAGAGAGCGTTTCCCGGCCCGGAGAAAATGCTGCGATTCTAGGAAAAAGATAAATGAAATAATTGTTACGGTGTTTGCGAAGTTGAGATTTCAGTTTCATCTTGGTCTTTTTGATCCCCCCGAGCGCCGAAGACCGATGGATCTTTCGGAATTCAATCTTTTGCTTTATGGAATTGCCCCCAAAGACCGCAGGAAAGCTTGAATTCAGTCTTGCTCATTTTGGTCTTTGAAGGAACAATTTTTGATTGGCCTACACACCCCGAGATACTCCCGACGTCCTCCCGACACCGCCGCACCATCCCGTGGAGCTGCCCAAACACACACACCTTGGCCGCCGTAGACGACACCATGGCGAACCAACTACAAACAGCAGCAGTGCCGCCAGACCACAGACGGTCAGACAAACGTCGCTGCACCGCACACCCGGTGCGCATTGCATGCTGCCGACATGGTGCAACTTTTGCTTCATCTTAAATGTTTATGCGTGGACAGAAGCATGCCGCTCTACATGCATGCCAAAATAAGTGACACATCAAGCCGCGGCGTGAGGAGGGTGAGGCGGTGAGGCGGGCGGCATAGATTTCAGGAGTGCGGCACAGACAGGTGGTGGAGGCGGAGGTGATGGAGATGGGGATGCTTCAAAAGCGGCGTGGAGGCGTGAGGAGCTGCAGCGCGTGCGTCCTGTGGACCGTGCTGTGGTGATTTGTTTGACAGGAAACGATCGACTCCGTTGACGACTGACTGCGATATGTATCACAACTTGTTCGCGTGCTGAAGGGGTACGTACACACATGCATGCCTCCGCTTTTTGCGGCGCTACGCTTCCCATGCACTCCCGGTAACTGAACTGGGCCAACCGCCTGTTCATGAATTAGTACGTTGCTCCATCAGTATTCTCCATGACTGGGGGTGAGGGTGCAGTGATAGTGTAGTAGTAGTAGCCTTGTTGGGGTGAGCGGGAAGCTCGGAAATAAATATGTTTGGTGTTCCGAGTCGGCTCAACCATCTGTCTGCCGCCGGCGGCAAAGGGGCTCCGTCGTATTGAACGCAACGTTCTAGGAAATTTCCGCATGTTCAAGACTGAAATATTGCGCTCCGGTCTTCGCAAGCTATTTTTGAAACCAAAATTCAATCTTGGGCCGGAATTCCTTCAAACTTCCAAGACTGAAATGGGAGACCATTTATTTCGCAAACACCCTAATACCCCTTAAGTCACAAAAAAAACACTCAAACTTTCTCACAGTCGCCCCGCTTCTGAATGAGATATAAAGAACACTGGCCTTGTTGTATCCGGGAGAATAGTAGTCCTAACATCTGCATCTCCACATCTCCACATCTCCACACAACATCAACAAGGAGCAACGCACATGGATGCACAATGACGGTCTTGTGCGACCCATTCATGTATTCGGGTTTGGTTTTGCACAGTTTACCTATTGACAGTATCGGTTAAGCCAGTCAGACGCTTCTCTGCCCTCTGCCGTGTGCTCTCTTTGCCATTCTCTTGCTCCTCTCCGCTCGTTGCTCCGTGCGGTCGGCGGGATTCCGAACCTCAAGAAACGAAACAACGCGAAGCACCTTCGGGCCCAGTTCTAGAAAGCACGATAGCTCAAATCACGTTCTCAAAACCACACTCACCGTGCGCCACATTAGTGCGCAGTTCCACACCACCAGCATCACGTCTTCCGGTTAGTTCGTGCGCATTCACCCGCTAGGTCTGTTGCTCTCCCGATGCCTCTCCTTCGTCGGGGTACACCCGCGCCCCCATGGCTGTTCCCATCGACCAAGCATACAGTGCCGTTCGCCCCGGTAGTCTAGTTGGTATCCTGGGAAAACCTTCTAGTGGCCAGGGTCAGGGATTCGACTCCCGGCGGAAGCGAGCTTTTCTTGCAAAGTGGGTTTTTTCTCTCGTTTTCGTTCCTGGTGTTGGTGGAAAGCGATAAAGATCGTGTGTACACAGAGGGAAGAGAGCGCCCCAGACCGGTCGGCCGCCATGATCGCCGCTGCCGCTGCCGGGACCGTGGCCTCCAAGGTCACCCGTGCGATCGACAAGTCGGCCGACAAGATCAACCTCGGTGACCAACAGCAGGATCATTGTGACCAACGCTGTTTTCGACGCTGACGCCGCCGATGACAAGGCCGGTGCGGAGGTGCTGATCGCCGCGGCGGTGCTTGAAAACTGGTGGCTGCCGCGAGGGCTACCTCCGCTGGGTGAGAGTGCAGCAAGTTGTTTTTAACACGTGACGCTCAATGATATCAACACAGACGGCCGCGGTCAAGTCGCTGTATTCCGTGATGATTCTGTACAGTAGTCCCATCGCTTGGTTGGCATGGACCGCGCCGTAACATGTACCGCCAGAAGGACTTCGACATGGTGCCACGTAATCCACCCCTCCCCCCCAAAAAAAACAAAAACGATACCATGCCTCGCACGTCGCTTGATCCCATGGCGACCTGTCCCGGCAATGTCCGAGCACGAAATCTGGTAGCCCGGGCTGCACGATAGCGTAGCCCTGTCGCTTTCCTCCCCCCTTTTTTTTTCTGTCTCGTGTTTTTCGTCATATGTTTCTCCGTGTAGTGAGATGTCCCAGGCACCATACGCGAATCATTTTGCGGGGACCTCCAAGATTCAGAGGGAAGCAAGCACTGCCGTGAAACCACCATACGGCAGCGGGCTCATGGCGGTCAAGAAGGGCAAGATAAACGGCACTTAGCGCTTCATAGTGCCCCACAGCTGGCCATCGCTAATCGGTACCGCACGCCACCGCCGAGAGACACTGGGATCTCTCCGAGGTAGCGCTCGCCGGTGTGCTTCTTGGTGGAGGAACTCTTCTTCGAGTCCTCCGATTTGGGGGGTTTCTAGGCGGGCGCGCGGCACGAGGCCCGACGGCTGAGCTGCGCCGTCCCGTTTGGCGGTCAAATTGCATGCACGGTAGTGTATCGTACCAGTGCTGTACTGCTAAATATAAGCGTGTTTTACGACATCAGACGGCTCGACGGGTTTTACTGTTGTATCCCGAACCAGATATCGCACGACTTCAAATGGGGTGTTTTCTGAATGGTAGTGCGTACCATTGGGAGGCTCAATCGTCCGATACTGCTACTGTACAACAGTTTCGTCCCGTCTGGTAGTATTCCGAGGGATATTTTGTGTTTTAGTAGCAGAGACCCGTTAGGATACGGCGGAGGCTTTGTGCCGTGCGGAACTGTGGTACGGGGAAGTCTCCCTCCGTACGCCACAGGAAATATTATTCAAGGCAATTCGAAAGAAAACAAAAAAGGAAAGTTTGTTGTCGAAAACCCTCGTGCTGGTCCTTGGGTGCTTGGCCTGTGGTTCTACTGTAATCCGTCCATTGTGTTTCTTGTACGGAAGTCTGGGGTTTCCACATGTCCTCTTTCCATGCCGCGAAAACCCCGCGGCCACAAGAAAAAAAAACAGCTTCAGACAGGCAACGCCGACGATACTCGTCGCGTTGATTCATCACAATAAATATCTAATCCCCAAACACGAGGAACTACACCGGCCCAAAGCTCGGGGGGGGCTTCGCCACACGTCTTTGGATGTAACATGTCGTAGCACATCGCCCGGCCTGGTTCATCACCGTCTGCCGCGCGGGCGAGAGAGGAAGGCGGGGGTGGGAGAGACACACGACGCGTCAGGCGCACAGGCAGACAAAATAGATTGTACAGATCGCCGTCGACCACTTAAGAGCCTGGGGAATAAGATCTCCAAGCTGAAAAAATAGATACAACAGAGCTTGACCATGAGAACAGGGGCTTAGTCAAGAGCCCTACAACAAAACCCATGGAGTTGTCGTTGAGGTCAACCCACAGAGGAAATAGGAACGAGCCTGGTGCAAGAAAAAAAGTGCGTCTTCAGTGCTGGCGCGTGATGTAGGCAACTTAGATACGGCAGGTGCCTGGGGCGTAGCAACACGCTAGAACGGGAGAGATGCAGACAGTGAGAAGAGGCAGGGTGAAACGAGGGTTGTCTTGAGGAAGACGGTGTTCGATTCGTTTCGAATGTGCGAACCTTACCGTCCTGGCTCGCACGCCGTTCTCCTACATGAGCCATCCCAGGGGGGCTGGAAGGGGGTGGAATGAGCCAACTCACCAGCTAGCCAATTGAGAGCGTTCGTACTTGCTTGCTTTATTAAATGCGCCTGACACACACCAAGCCAACGTTATGCCAACATGCCAGACGCACATTGACCTTGTGTAGCGGGTTTTTGTCACGAGACTCAGTGTTTACCTCCTCGAGCACCTCAAACACCGCTTGATCAAATGCACCTATCTTAGCAAAATCCTATGCCTGCCATGGTAGACACATGTTGGCGGCATGTGGCGTAGATTGTCACGAGACTCAGCATTTTACCTCCTCGAGCACTTCAAACGCCGGAGAAGGCACCGGGTCTGTCATGGTGACAACGATAGCCCCTTCCTTCAGCGCAGCCGCTCCCTGGGCCAGCTTCTTCATCAAGTCGTCCCCGAAGCAGGTGCTATTGGCGAACACCACATCTCCTACGCGCAGCATGTTGGTCCGTTCATCGAATACACGCGGCCGAAGCAGTCGCTGTTACATGGTAGAAAAAACAACGTTACATCTCCCCGCAATGTGAGTGAGTCGAATGCAACCGGTTTCTCGTGCATGAAACGTCACAAGGCACGATGAGAAACGGAATGATGCGCCCACACAAGAAAAAAAAAGCCACGTGTCATGGAATACAAGGACAAGACGACGTTTGAGGCGAGGGACGCAGCGCAGGAAGGGTTGGCGAGCTGACACATGAGAGAGCGAGTTTAATAGGCGGAGATTACGTCAAGCTGGAGGTGTTGCGCGTTGTCTGGCCGGAGACAACGATATGGCTCCAATTAGGGTATTCGAATCCCTTCTCCCAACCATCCCAAGCAAACCGCCTACTGATGAAAAACGTGAAAATAAGCGAGTGGTGCGATGCGGCTTACTAGGATCACTCTCAGCTCGGCCGATTCGAAGCAAGAGGCCAGCTGTAGAAACCCATGGGGTAAAAGCTCGAAAATACAAATAGGACATCCTAGATCGGCAGGCCCTCTAACTTCGTCAGCGGATCATTCTACTTCAGCAGGCGGGACCAGGGAGGACGCGACAACCTGCAGAGACGGACTACATGGGAACCTACTCCTATCATCAGGGAAGAGGTTTATTTCGTGGTTGGGTGGAGCGGGCCCTAGCAGTCCGTGTTTCACCCTCAGAGATGCTGCTGGTGAAATAAGTCTTATTTGTCATACCTTTTTCGGGATTTTTTCATGAAAATCGCCACCGCAAGAAAAAGCTTGTGAAAGCGCCATCCTCGAAAGCACATCAACCAAAGTGATGCAAACAAGGGTGTGAGGCGTTTTAACTCACCGTCTGACCAATCCAGCACCGTGAAATCCCCGCAAACAAACTCGATCTCTGCCGCCCCTCCCTTGGTCTCCCCGACAGTGACCTTATGTCTCAAACCGCCTTCCCACCGCTGCAGAACAACATAGACAAATCGATGAGGACGGGGAGGGATGAAACGTTGGGATTGTGCGCGCAGGCAATTTGCACCGCAGGCGTTTGCCTCTACGAAAACAGTGAACAGGTTTCAGGGGGCGGACAGGTGTGTTAAGGGCGGAGAGTTCGTGTTCTGCCATCCCTTAGGAAACAGATCGAGGTAAGCCATCGTTCTGTGGATCGTTCCTGACAGTCTCGCCAGAACCCACGAGAAAGGTTTTTATCCCCGGGTTAAGAACGACCCTGGTGGGAGACACGAAAGGACTCCACTGTTCCGGAAGCAGCTCGCCTTTTCTGCAACACTTGTAATGTAGGTGAAATGCAGGTGAAATGCAGAGTATCGTTCGAGTAGGGCGTGCAATGGTCACTGCAGCAGCCATTGAAACGCAAATGCAGCGCGCAAGTGTTTTGCCCTAACCGAAAATGAATCAATAAAACTACACGAGTAGTTCTCGGGGGGCGGACACGTTTAGCTGGCACTTGTACGAAACATATGTGCAGAGCAAGCGCCCGCGCTCCTCAGCACTCTACTTGCAGTCGCATCGATATGGATATGCATCGATACCGGTGCCGCTCGCCCTCGAACCCATGATATGTACCTCCAAAGCCTTGAGGCAAATCCCGTGCAGGTCTCCAAGGATCTCCATCCCGATGCACCGATGCCACGGGTGCATCGTCGCCGCCGCGAACACCGGCTTCCCCGTGCCGCAGCCGAGGTCATAAAACACTCCGTCTAGAAAAAAAAAAGAACATAGTAAGACGCAGCGTAAAGAGAGCAGCGGAGTTGCAGTGCAGAGAAGGGGTATGCTTGGTGGCACACGGTACAGCGGCAACAATCTGCGCATGAGCACGAAATAGAAGTAGAAAACTGGAAAGAGGTGGGGCGGAACGTCGAGCACAAAAAGCCTATGGGTGAACGGATTTTTTTCGAGCCGTCTTCCGACAGCACTCGCATGCTACCAGCGATTGCAGCCTGTCGCCCTGGCAGCTCGCATCTCGGGCTCCTCCGTATCATACCTAGCGCCACTGGTCCTGCGCCCACAGAACGGCAAGCTTCTCTACAGTGCATAACAACGACACAGAACACCAAAGTCCTTGCTTTGTGGCCGGTGATACGGTAATCAGCGCTTCTACAACCGCCCGCGACACCCGCGAAACATAACATCTTTCCAAACGTCAAGGACGTTGAATCAGAGGCATACGGTTAAGCAGAGGAAGAAGGGACACACAAGTAGGGGGAGGTCCATCGAAGAGAAAAGGGGGCGTCGTCATCTGATGAAGCCATCTTTGCGAAGACAACTGCCAACGACAGTAGTGCTGTAGTGTATGGTGGACATGGCCCAGACCTCAAGCAACGTATCATACGCGCACCCACTCGCATGACCTTTCCACAACGCCTTCGCTAAAATTCAGCGTTTGAAGGGAAGTTTCGGGAACAACGCTCCACTTTTTCTGGAAGGTTCGAACCACCATAAACTCCCAAGTAAGACCATTTCGAAGGTTCGCCAAAACCGCGGGATATGAGCATTGAGCTATGGAAGAGTCCCACCAATTTTGGACCTAGGCCCTTTTACACGTCCCCGTGTGTCTCGTTCACCCACCTTTCTCCGGCAGTCCGCCGTACGAATCTTGAACCTTCGCCAAGATGTCTGAAAACTGGCACGTTGGTACAGGAAAAACGTAATGTTGGTTGCAGGGATAGGATAAGGGCTGGCGTGTACAGAGAGTCGGTCACATGTAGGTTTCGCGTATGTAAAAGTTCGAGGCCTCCGTGCAGGGGGGGCGGCGGGGTGGGTGGCGGTGGCGTCGGCGATGGAGAGGTGGTTGCCTTGTTGACCAACAAAGACCCAAGTTGAACGCTCTGGACTGCATGAAACCTGACACCGTAGCAGGCAAGCACTTTCTCCTATCACCCGCTCCGAAGGTAGGGTGTCTCCCTTTGTCGCATCGCCAGACCGATTTGTCCCTATCCTACGGCAGCTACGACCGACACCTGTCTTGCTGCTATTCCCCGCAGCGACGCAAGGTTGTGGTACACATTCTTGTTCTTCATCCGGCTGGGCAAACACGACCGCTTGTAGGTGCTAGACCGTGGTTGAAGAGGCAAACCTCAACGCAGAAGCTCACCCCTGTTGCAGACACCTCGCCGTAGGTGAGAGCGATGCTTTGGTACCCCTTCGACAACCTCTCGTTCCGAGAAGTCTTCATGCCGTCCTCCTCGGGCAGATCCGGCGGGTACAGCGCGGAGAATACCGACTCGAGCTCAGACCGAGCCTGGCTTCTAGCTGCCGCCAAAGCTTCGGCTTGCCGCTGTTCAATGCCGCTGTCGTCTTCTCCACCGCTGTCCCTGTTTGATGTCGTTCAAGAGTATTTTGAGTAAGTATAATCAAACTCGGTTGCTGAGTAGTTTTCAAATACTTACTGAAAGGGTTGAGTACGGATGAGTATCTTCGAAATACTTACTCGAAGACTTTAATCGAAGTTGAGTGTTGTTGAAATATATACTCCAGGATATGCTCAAGGTTGAGTAAAATACTCGAGTAGCTGAGTACGCATGAGTATAGTTTTGACATACTTACCAAATTTCCTGAGTATTGATGGGTAGGATTGAAATATTCACTCAAGGGCTATACTCAAGGTTGAGTATTTACTCAGAAATACTTGAGTATAACTATACATTACGAAACACACCCTTGATGTTGTTGTTGGAAGGTTTACATTTTTGGTAACCCCTCCTGCCCTTCTGCCGCTTCCTTTCGCCGGGCCTGCGTTGTGTAGCAATCAGGGTTGAGCAGGTGCCAGCAACATATTCCCGACAGGCGCTAGCGGTTCGCGTGGAGGGACGGGTTCGTGACAGACAGCAACGTCCACTTGAACGGGCGCGCAAACAGCTCGCAGGCGACTACACCTATCCTTCGCCCCCGCATGGTGTACATATGCACATGTGAATGGTGCTCTCTTGATGTTGATGATAAATCCGACGCGTACAGCAGGCACTTCCTCTGAATCCGAGGCTGGTTTGACCGTAATTCTTCTCCCAGAATGGTTTCGAAACGAACTAACTCTGTCTCGTCGTTTGTTGTCCGGCTACGGCAGAGTATTAAACAAACATGCTACAAGTATAATTCAAGAAACTCGCGCAGACATCCAGAAGTGGTAAAGTATTAGTGAAGAGAGAGAGAGTTGTGAACGGAAGGAGGAAGATGATAAGATCTGATGGAAGGAGCAACAACATGCCATGCGAACGGGACAACACGTGCATTGTCTTCTCTGCTACCGTCTCTGTAAATAAAAATGGAGAACAGTCTAGCCTCTCCCATGACGCCCCCTCACTGTTGTGTGTCCCAGATCATGGCCTACAGAAGTAAAAGCGATATCTTCTGTATTCAACCGCACTGGAATGACGTCTGCCTGAATGTTCATTGGTCAGCGGGTTGAGCGAGTTAACGCGGTCGATGCTAGCAATAACGGCTAACGAAGACAGACAGAACTATCACCGCTCGTTCGCGCGGAACGCGCCTGCAAACACGAGTGGGGGGCGATCCGTGAGTACATGCAAGCACACCGTGCTGTCTCATAGGCAGCAGATCTGTTGTTGTTGATTCGGAAGCTAGGTGCTGCAGGCGGCAGGATTGATTATGCCTACACGCGTGTCTCTTCCTTCCATGATGAAAAAGATTAGACTATACGTCGGCAGAAAAATAAATGCCTTTTTTTTTGTGTTGGCGAAGACCAAAAGCCTTTAGGGTAGTTTTTCCGACGCAGACTATGCATATGTAGAAATCAACACCAATCGGCCGAATGGAGGCATGGTGCTATGTTTGGCAGGCACATCTGATGTGTTTCAGCTCCACAGTGCCTGTCATGCACCATCCGTTTTTTCCCCGCGAGAGTTTGGCGACGACAAAGAAAGTCGCTCGAACAGTGTCTGTCTCTCACAGTCGTTTTTTTTTGGCGAGAGTTTGGCTGGCAACCAATGGTTGTTGTTTCATGTCTAACAGGCACCCCCCCTCAATAGACCTGTCTCTCCCCCAACGCCGTGAGGGCCCCAACCCCAAACCCCAAACCCCAAACGGCATCGGGGACACGATGCTACAGCAATGGTAATACAGCAGCACATCGCCGCGAACGAGGAGTACAGCAGCAGTAGGTGGTGGTGCCGTGGTCTTGTCTTGTACACACAGCAGGCACTACTCCGAATCCGAGGCTGGTTGGACCGATATTTTCCGAAACGACAACCAACCGTCCAGCTTGTCGTTCATTGTCCGGCGACGACAGGAGTGTTACAGTACACTACATACAACACACAGGTATCATCCTATGTACTTTATAATTAAAGGAAATTGACAAAAAAAGTGGGTATAGCCACGCCATTCTCGGACAAAAGTGGGTACTCGAAAATCCAGCGCGTGCACCCTCCATAGGCGACCCCCAAACGACTCAAAACCCCATTCTGACACCTGGGCGACACAGCCAGGGACCATACACGGGACGGGCATCGACTTTTTCCCACTTTCAGGCACACCTTTGGCCCTAATACCGCCGAGGCACGCAAGGCCTCACCAGAGTGCCCACTTCTGTCCGAATCGTGGTGGGTATCCCCAGCGGCGTCTACTACCCACTTTTGTCCACTTACGGACAGCGGAAATCGAGCAGAAATCAACCTCCACGTCACCGCACGGCAGAACATCGAATCTTCCCGTGCCGGTACCGAAGGGGTCTGGCATGTTTCTGACATGTTCCTCCGCGGTCGGTCCGCAGTCGGCAGCCATGGATACGAAAGATGCCATGGATACGGTGTTGGGAGATTCTGAGACGTCCCGAGGCTATTCGATGTTCTGCCGTGCGGTGACGTGGAGGTCGATTTCCGCTGTCCGTATGTGGACAAAATTGGGTACAATTTGGACAAAACTGGGTCAAAATACAGACACAAGTGGGTACATGACAAAATTCGTACACGCCGCTGGGGATATCCTCCGCGATGTCGGATAGAAGTGGGCACTCTGGTGAGGCCTTGCGCGCCTCGGCGGTATTAGGGCCAAAGGTGTTCCTGAAAGTGGGAAAAAGTCGATGCCCGTGCTGTGTATGGTCCCTGGCTGTGTCGCCCAGGTGTCAGAATGGGGTTTTGAGTCGTTTGGGGGTCGCCTATGGAGGGCGCGCGCGCTGGATTTTCGAGTACCCAACTTTTGTCCGAGAATGACATGGGTATACCCACTTCTGTCCATTTCCCTCAATTAAAGTAACGCGCACAGACATCCACAAGTGTTTTAGTATTAGACTGTAGTGAAGAGAGACTGGTGCACGGAAGGAGGGCGACGATAAAAAAATGTTAGTAACATGTTTTTTTTTTTTTTTTTTTTTTGTTCTTCACTTCAAATCAGCGCTCACAGCACTAGTAGTGCCGTTTATTCCAACCCGTGGTCACACAGAAGAGCCTCTCTCTACCCTCCCCTCCTGCGGTACTTCGCCTTCAATTTTTAATGCGAGAAGAGTTCAGCACTCTCTTCCCTCTGTGTACACACGAACTAGCGCTATCCACTTGGCCAGGAGCGGAAGCGAGAGAAAAACTCACTTTGCAAGAAAAGCTCGCCTACGCCGGGATTCGAACCCCTGACCTGACCTCTAGAAGGTTACGAGGCTGCCAACTAGACCACCGGGGCGAACATGTATGTGTAGGATCTGATGGAAGCAGCAACAACATGCCATGCGAACGGGGCCGAAATAACACACACGAACGAGTAGTCTCGAAAGCAGAAGCCTCGGTGCACATACATACATGCACTTCTCTCCATCTGCTGTGTACCGTCTCTCTCTGTCTTTAATCCGGACAATAGTCTAGGCTCTCCTATGACTGACGCCCCCTCACTGCTGTGTGTCCCAGACCATGGCCTAGTCTAAAGGAGAAGCGTTATTTTCGGTAGCCAGCCGCACGGAAGGACATCTACAGCAGTGCCTGTCTGTCAGTTCATTGGTCAGCGGGTTGAGCCGGGTCGATGCTATTAATAATAATGACGGCGAATGAATTAAGACAGACAGAACTATCACCTCCTCCCTCGCGCGGAATGTGCCTCCAAACACGAGAGACACGCGGCGGTGAGTGCGTATACATATATACGTGCAAGCACGCCGTGCTGTGTCATAGGCAGCAGATCTGTTGTTGTCGATCCGGAAGCAAGAAGCGAGGTTCGGCAGGCGGCAGGATTGATCAAATGTGCCTATCTGCTGTGGTGCGTGCCTACTTTTTTGGGTGTTTTTTTTATGTCGGCGCAGACCAAATAGGTCTAGATAGATAGATATAATAGGTGGTTGTTGACGCAGACTATATAGAAACCAACACCAATCGGCCGAATGGAGGCATGGTGCTATGTTTGGCTGGCACATCTGATGTGTTTGAGCTTCACAGCAGTGCCTGTCATGCACCATCCGTTTTTTTTTCCCCGGGAAAGTTTGGGGGGGACAAAAAAGTAGTTTTAATAACAGCACGGCTGTTTGTTTTTCACAGTTGTTTTTTTTATTTTGGGGAGAGTTGGGCGGGCAACCAATGGGGTTGTTTTTTCATGTTTTTCAGCCCCCCCCCCCCCCCAAAAGACCTGTCTCTCCCCCAACGCCGTGAGGGGCCCAACCCCAAACCCCAAACCCCAAACCCCAAACCCCAAACGACATCGGGGGCACGATGCTACAGCAGTGGTAATACAGCAGTGGTAGCACATTGCCACGAGGAATACAGCAGCAGTCGGTGGTGTTGTGTCGTCTTCTTATTATCTTGGTTACAACAGGCTTTTGAATCCGAGGCTGGTTGAATACAACCATTGTACACCAGCGACACACCTTTGACGTATCCATCAAACAATCCCTACAGTCCTCGACCTACGCCGATCTTGGTGTCGTGGCCGTTGTTGGCCGTCACCTTTCAACCTTACAAGGCAACGTCTTGGGCGTTGCTCGCCAGGTTTTCTGCACCAAACTGTCGGCATCATCCAATCACAGCCGTGCAATGTTGGCTAAACTTCGTCACCACCAGATCATCATCAGATCATCAGATCACCAGGCAACCCGGCAGAGAGCCGGCCACTTACATGGCGCCACACAGCTTACTCAAGCGCCCAAAGACCACAGATCTATCGACCCAGCGGAAGATTCCGTGTTGCGTGATCCTGGTCTCGGTGCGCCAGTCACAGCAGTACACAACTATGTCTGTGTATTCAAGCGAGAGAGACAGCCGCAGTGACCTGTGGCGGCGGGACCCGCATGTTCCGGGTTGTGGGTGCCCCCCGCTGCACCGGCGGCTCTGCTGGCAGTCTTCAGCTCTCGTTGCTCTGCCTGTGCATCTAACCAACAGAGCAACTAACACGTTGTGCGCTCTCTCTCTCGTATCTCGCCTACAATGCGAGCGTTTGTAGCGCCGACGATCCTCTTCTCTATTGTGAGACGGAGCTGCAGAGGTTTAGCTGTAGGCGCCTCGGCAGCAGGTAGACTGCCGGGCTGTCGCACAACTGCCTCCTCGTGCACCGTGAAGCGAGCAGCATCAACGGAGACTGCTGCTACGTCGCTATCGGGGTGGCCTCGAAGACTTGACCCGGACAATTGCAAGGTTGCCGACATCCGCCAGCAGCTTCGACGCAGGTATAGAGCCAAAGGTAACACAACGTGTAGACATGCAGCCATCAGCGTTTCGCGAGAAAACATATGCTGTGTCAAGCTCTGTAGCACTCTGACGGCAGAAATTGTGTTTTTTTCCCCGAGGATCCAAGCTTGGAGGGTCCCAAATGATCTTGCACACAACCAAGTTGAGCAGCATACAACATATTACATCTTCCCGATCTCCGAGTTCCCCAAATAAACGGGAGCGCTCCTTGAAAAGGTTCCAAAAAAGTTACATTTTACACACGATGTACAAGTACATACCGCTACGTCGAGGGTTGTCGAGGTGCAGGATCAAACATGTAAATCATGTTGTTGCAGTTGGCGCAGACCAAATTGGTGAGTTTACGCCGACGGGGTATAGAAACCAACCTGAGGGCGGTCGGTGAGGGCAAGAGCTTGAACTGAGAAGAGCTTGGCTGGCACCATTAGGGGTCAACAGTCTCGTCGATTGGGTCTCTTTCTCGGCTTGGTCGGTGGTCGGTCTTGAATGATTGAGAGTTTGGCTGGCACCACTACGGGTCAACAGTCTCACCGATTGGGTCTCTCATTCATTCTTGACCACACTCATCACCACTAACAACAACAACCACAACAACAACAACAACAACACCACGCTATACTATCCCATATCCACCCACCCTCGCACACGTATTGAAGTACTACTACACAGCTGTACATGGCTGGTCGCACGACCAGAGAGTATGCGTGTGGTCGCTGGGTGTTAAAATCAAACAAGTTCTAAAATGTGTAAAAAAAATCAAGACAGCAAGACATACATATTATACCTAATAATCGAAAATCGGGGTCCATAGGTGTGTGTGTGTGATTTTGGGGAGGTAAGACTCTAGTTTATTACAATTGCGTAAGGGGCACCTTGGATAGAAAACCCTCTGCAGTTGGCGTATGTGTCCGAAATTTTGGTTCAGATAGACCCTTGACCCAACCTTCTTTCCTTGCTGTGCATGATCCTCCTGATCCTGCTGATTGTCATGGAACCTTCGAACACAAAAGAGTGAGGGCACGTTCGGCAGTATGGGAGCTTATTGCACCGGTGGAGCAGTGCTTGACGTCGATTCAAAGGGGTGGGACTGCTGAAGGCGTGACATACCACACACCCTGGACCGATTTTCAAAGCTCGTTACTGCACGAAGAAGATGTAGAACGCGAATGCTACGTTGTCGGAAAGCTCTCCAGGAGACAGTCTCAAACACCGCCGTTGTCTGCCCTGCCGCTCTCTCTGCGGTGGAGGAATCGATCTTTGGAAATCTGTCCAGGGGACATATGATATCTTACGTCAGCGGCGGTTTACTGCTGGTACAGCGACACCCCGGCCCACTCGTAAGAAACACCGCCAAGAACCCCAGGTACAACTGCAGGATGTTTGGTGCACCTTCTGTACCTATACCACAGTCCCGTTCGCAACCGTCTACCCACACAGTTCGTCGTCTGTTGGGATTTATCAACTTCCACACCTAACCCCGACGTCCTTCTATCCGCATGCCTTCTGGGAAATTGTGTCTTTGATTACGAAAAAAAAGGGGTTACACGCCACCGAGAGACAGACAGACGAAGGCGGCGCTGCTGGAAGAGCTGCGAGGCCTCGTGAGGGCCGAAGGCTTCGCGCCTCCGGACGCCGTTGTCAGGTGAAGGATGTAACGGCGCGACGCTACTGCTTGTCGGAGTGGTCATGCGGCTTGGGCTCTTGCTGGAAGGTCTGGTTGCAAACGTTGTGTTGGAGTGAGAGGGAGCTCTGGCGGTACAGTAGCCTGCAGGTCAGGATGCAAAGAGGCGTGTTCATGGACAGGTGGAGGCATCGTCGCACCCATCTCGAAACGCCCTGCCGCCGCCGGCGAAAAGCGACCCAGATGTGAGGTTTTTGCCGCCCGCGAATGTACCCGAATAAACACCCCTTACAAGTACCGCCTGATTACGGTTAACTCTTCCCTCTTCCGACACCGATAACCTCGTACGCGATGATTGTCTGCAATGCTTCTCCCTCCTGTGGCCCTAACGAAATCGGCTGGCAGAAATGACACCGTGACAAGAGAGGGGCCGGAGGGATCGGAAGGTGACGGCAAGGCGCAACAAAGGTGCGCAAGCTTGGAAGATAGATGAAAAGTCATCGTGTGGACGGCGGGTTTGTGGGAGACGGTGCAACAAGGGCGGGGGAGGCATCCCCGTACCAACGTCTGGGGCGAGCAAAACCCTCGCTCAGGCAGGTTTGCAGGAAGTACTTGAACCCAGAGCAGACATGGTTGCTCGGGATTGATTAGGTGGGTGATTCTTCCTTATGCTGCCAACGAGAGCTTGCAGGATAAATCTTGTCTTACAGAGGCTTTTGGCTGTATATCTCCCGATTCCACGCGAAGGTGGAACCCCGAAGCCGGGTGGGTGGACAGAGCCACCATGGAGAGGGGGGAGAGGGGCTACCCGCTGTGCCGTTTCTGTAACGAGGAGGTCCCCAGCGCGAGACGCACGTTCTGCTCGGATGCCTGCGTGCACGAGCATCGGGTGAGCGATCCAACATACAGCCAAGCCGTCATCGGTGTCGCCATCATGTAAAGGGGAGAGATTCCGTTTGATGTGCTTTCAAGGTGCTTAAGTTTTGGGGGGGGGGCGGCTGCAGATTAGTTTCATCAAGCAAGAGCAAGCGACACGCGTCCGCGTTGCGCGCGGCATATTAGTTGGGGATTGCTTGTTGATTGGGTTTGGTGCTGATCGACGTGTAAACGGGCGCGGGATGCCAATTAGGTTTAATAAAAAAACTTTTTCTTTAATTTCGTAAGTGGGAGCTGAAAAATTGTGTCCTACTGTATAATAGTTGTCTTTCTTCGGACCCACACCATTACGTGTTTCGCAAGACAAAGCGGAGTACTTCATATCACTGCTGTGCCGTCTCGGCATGGGACCACGTTACCCAGCACATGAAGTTCTACGCGGTCACCTGCGCTTTACGGGCGTGTGGTAGAGTAGCACCCAACTTATGGATGGCGTCTTCTTTCGAGCAGTTCGCGAGAGCTTCAGGCCCGATTCGCGCGTGTTGCGAGGCGGAACCTCTTGCTTTAAAGTCTTGGGGACCGACCGACCGTGCGTATCGTTTCGACTTCTCCACCTTTTTGGGGGCAGATCCGCACCCAGGGCTCCTACGTGCGCAAGTGCCTGCTGGTCAGGGATGGCGGTCAGTGTGCCGAGTGCGGCGTCGACGCCGCGGGTCTGTACAAGCGCGCCCGAGCGGCGTGGATTTGCGAGGGTTCCGTGGTTGTCAAGAGGGAGGCGGTAGCGCTGGAGATGGTCGGGACCCCGTTCGAGGGAAAGGTGCGAAACGGCGTCGGCCTTCACAGGCGATGGAGTAGTGTGGGTATCTCAAGGGATATGGCGTGCGAGGGTAGGGGCGGGCAGGCTTCGCTCGATTATTGTACACAGTGCAGTTTCTTTGGTCTGTCCGGTGGATCTGAAACCTGCTCCCTTTCGAGGCTGATCGTTCTCTCCATGTGAGCGGCTTTACACAGCAGCTGAGAGGTAGACCCCGCGCTCTTCTTGCCCTAGTGTTCGCTGGCCGAGACTTGCAGGGTACGTTGGGGTGTTGGGCTTGTGATATTGCCGGAGATAAAATATGGCGACCTCGTTAGGGGCAGAGCCAGTAGAACGGTAGACAGCTTGCAGAAGAACCGAGGGCGGAATGGGGTGGGTTGGTCGCGAAATACTGCTTTCAGTTGGTGATAACTACAGGGAGACCTGGACAAAGAGATGCTGCGCTTGAATCAGACGAAAAGAGCGGGGTGTAAGCTGGAGCGGTCGTAGGTGCAGAGGTGGACACGTCTGTATCGCCTTTTTTGCTCGGAACGCCCCTTTATTGTCGCTACACATTATTGGATGCCCGCGGGAAGCAGATGCCTACCAAAGGAATGACGCGAAGACCTACACAGGGGAAGTTCTGGCACGCTGACCACATCGTTCCGGTGGTGAGCTGCTGAGCATGGTCGCCGAGGCTTGTAATTCTTGACTCAGTCCAGAAGAACGAAATCCTACATCATGAGTTAAGCCGAACGTGATTCGACAGAGTTTGTAGTTCGTGGCTATATCCAGCAAAACTGATTCCATCGATTTGGCTCTTGGCCAGACGAAGCTAAAGACCTATGACGCACTGCTCCGCAAGCCTGACGAATCGTGTCACGTTGACCGTAGGCTAGCTTTGTGTGATTTCATTGTTTCATGACGACGCAATCGTGCCGCCGTGTGGCCAGCGGCCCGTTCGTCGCCCTTCCTTTCTCGCACACGTTTCCACATCCTCGTACGTCGATCGCCACGTTGATGCGTTGCCAGTCTGCCAACGTCCCCGCTCTCGCAATTTAAGTACCCGTCCAAGCGTTGTAGAAAACCCTCCCCAAGATTTTCTGTGTTTTTTTTGTCGGGAAGTTGCGCGTGGGTTGTGAGCGCTGCAGACTAAGCGAAAAAAACGACCGCCTGCCGTGAGCCTTCACACTTGGGCGGCAACCGCCAACCGATCTCGCAACTCCACCCACACATTCACCACCGTTTCCGTGCGTTTTTGCGCGTGCCCGCGCATCTGCAGGTGAGGGGTGGTGGGCAGTGCAGTCTCAAGAACTACCGCACTCTGTGCGTCCCCTGCCACGCGGCCGCCACGAAGAGGCTGGCAGGAGAGCGGGCGGCGGAGAGGGCTCGTGCCGCCGCCGCCGCCGCCGCCGCCGCCGCCGCCGCCGTCGCATCGGATAGTGTCGCCGGCACCGGTGCTGTTGTTGTGAAGAAAAAGCGCGGAAGGCCTAGAAAGATAGTGGACCGATAGAGTAGCAGCATCAGCGGCGGCATCAGGGTGGGGGGTGTGATGTTAGCAGAATATCATTGGCGGCGGCGCTCGACGGTGAAGCCTTGGAAAACCGCGCGGAGGAGGAGGACGGAGGACGGAGGGTCCGCAGCAGCAGCAACAGTGGCAGACGCTGTCAAATTGTCGCGTTCTGGTGCGCTACAAGAAAATGTGGGGCTTATACCTGCATCGACCTGTAGCACACGTGGCGGGAACGGCACCTAGATACAATCCTAGTGGTACCGACCCAATGCTGCCAGCACAACCGCAAAAGGAGATGCGGCACTGCGATGGACACTCGAGAAGGGAGGGGACGGTATGCGTGGGGGTTGTGAGTGGTGGTGCATGCGGCGTTGCCGATCTGTTGTGTTGGGGCGTGTTCGCAGCGCTCGGCGTACAATTGAATAAGCTTCTGATAAATATCGTGCTGCTTGGTCAAGTGTTGTGCCTCCATAGTACATAAGAGCATGCACGTGGTCGAGGTGGATACACAGCCGACAGCTTCAAGCTAGCAACAACTTTTGACGAGGAGCTCTCGCTCATGTACGACACCGTCTTGCGTTCTCGCTGGGGTTGCATGTATCTACGTTTCAGCATCGTTCACCAGGAGGCGTACACAACAAGAGTCAAACGGTGAGAGGTGATGTTATGCCTCAACGACATGATGAGCACTGTAGGATGTTTGCACTTTTTGGCATTCTTTCTTTCGCCAGCGTGCCTGACGCGCCCCACTTGTCCTTCTCCCTAACACTTGTTCGAGGCACATGTTTGACCGTTTTTTTCACCCCGGGTGCTCGACGACCTTCATCGGAACTACCGTTGCTCGGATTTGTCTCCCCCGGCCTACCTCGCATATATCGTGACACCCCCACCTGGGGGGGAGGGTACCCCCCCCGCCGTGTGGCACATGGTCACAAGCCCGCAAACGGGGGTTCCAAGGCGTGGAAGTCTAATAATGCGGTGTTTGTGTGAGGTGTGAACGTAGGTATGCGTAAAGGTGTGGGTTGTGGCAATAAAAAATCGATTTCATCTCTTCTCCGTGGAAAGATGTGCACCATGCGGTAACGACTAAATGCATATTGCTCGTGTTCGTGGAAACACTCCTCCTGTCGTGCCATACATCGCAATCAACAGCGACGAATTATCCGTTCTGCATTATTCCAAGTTGAGACAACCATGGCCGTGCCTTTTCTTCAAGAGGGAGGCAGAGCTGCGGCTTCGAGACTGAGCAGAGGGTTTGATTCAGAGATCGTGCCAAGACAGCAGTCACAAGCTGACGACGACAGCACAACCAAACACTACATGGCTCACTTGCTCGAACCAGATGCTCAATGCTACCAGCTTGAGCCATGCGAATGAACAGTTAGTTGATTACTGGCCCACGCCGAAGTTCCGACTGCACCAGCAGGTTGTCTGTGTGCGGAGAGAGACCTCCCAACTCCGATCTCAGGGTCGTGGTCGATGATCGATCCGCACGACCCATTGTGTTCATCAAGGCATGGTTTTTGTTTTCGCGATTGGTATTTCTTCATCGCTTCGCTCTATCAAACAACACCTGCGAGAACCTTACATGTCTGGACGGCATACCAGCAACCTCTTGAACTGAGTCTGTGGCAGTGGCAGTCCTGGCGCTAACGAGCCACGACACTACTACCTGTCCTCCTTCGAGGCCCGGATAGCCGCGGCAACGAAGCAAAAAAATCACTTTATTGCCCGCACGGTCAAGTGTACCTAGAGAACAATAGCTGACTCTTGACACGATCTAGTCAACAACAATCTCCATATTCCATCTCCTAGACATCACGCACCCTACATGCTACACGCTACGCGACTAAAGCAGTCACAACAAGAGAAAACCACCAACATGTCTTCTTCACTCTCGTACATCAGATTCACAAAAAGGCACGCAACTGCAACTTACGAGATAACGTTCCACTCCACATAATATTTTCAACACATACACGCCATCTCCACCCACGAGCACTTCGTTAGGTAGAAACAACACATCATTACAAGTGCGTCAAAAACACATCAAGGAGCAGAGCCCAGCGCAACGAGTATCACTCAGAACAACTGTATGTACAGCAACACACAAACGTACACAAACGGCAGGCGAGCTAGAACGTGCACCCTGCCGGCAAATTCCACCAAATCATGACCCCATTTCCTCTACTCCTCGCCCCCCTCCTGGTTGTCGGGGTTCTCGCGGTTCAACCGCCCCAACAACGGGAGCTTGTTCGGGAACGATCCCGTCGCCGAAGTGCCAACGGAGTACGCCACAGCCGCCAACAAAGCCACGAACACCACGTCCGACCCCACGTTCGCCAAAGGCGCCAGCTTGGACGCGTCGGACCCCAACACCGCCCCCGTGATCGCACCCACCACGCCCGGCAAGATCAGAGCGATGTCCAGGTTGATGGCCTGCTGCATGTTGAACCTCACGAGCTTGTTGATCTGCGGGTTGCTGGACCCGATGGACAGACTGAAGAACCCGATCAGCGTCGCGAACGGAACGGACCGCAGCGCCAGCAGCACGGCGGCCAGCGGCTGCGCCCACGCCGTCTGCTCCGGGAACGCGCCGAACAGGTGGGCGGCGAACACCACGCCGTCCGCCAGAGGAAGCACGTACGGCAACGCGGACAGCGCCTTGTCGGCGGTGGTGGCCGGGCCGTCGTTGACATCGCCGGGAGACACAACCACCGCCCCCGCGTCCGGCCTCATCCTGTCGTCCATCTGGCGCTGGCGCTCCTCCATACGCGCCACGCGTTCCTCCTCCCGCTGCTGGCTGAAGAGGTTCTCGAGCCTCGTCCTGAGCTCCTCCGTGGGGGCGAACTCCGACTGCTGCAGCAGCCCGTCCCCGTTCTGGTCGTAGGTCTGGATGAGCTTGAGGGCGAGATCGTCGGGGAACAGGGTACCTCCAGGGAGTCCGGCGATGCGGTCGTCCACCTGAGATGTTGTGAGAACAAGGGGGGGGTCAAGGGGAGGATTGGGGAGGGGGTGCGAGTGTGGTGAGAGTTGTTCGTTGACTTCGGGAGAGGCATTGGCTAATGGTTGTGTGGGAACTAGGTTGGGCGATGTGTCGCAAATGGATGGCGAGCACTCCATGCTTGCTTTCAACACAAAGAGGGAGCAATGTTTATCAACGACCAACACCCAGGGTGGCTTCGACTAGCCCTACAGCAGCGATAGTGCAGAGCCGTGCGATGAAGATAATGGAAATCGTCGATGGGGACGGAGGGATATGGTCTTGAGGTGCATTGGCTACGCTACCGGGTGACATTCGGAATTCTATTTGTTGCCCATTTCCCAAGCGTGACGTAGTTCCGCAAAGGCTATGCGACGGAGGTGTGGAGGTACACAGCAGTAGTAACATCATTCACAGCAGCATCTTCAACTGTGACAGCAATACCGCGGCTGTGGTACTCTGTGATTGGTGTCTGCGGCGTAGGCTAGGTGAGGTAGAGAAACATACCGTGAATTAATATTCACACACAGATGCCCACGCTGGCTTCACCTGAACGGTTGCAGACTTGGCAACGCCTTCACAATACCGCATCAACTACACTGCAGTACAATAAGCTGCAATGAGCTGTTCCTTTCTGTTGTGCAAGCACTTCCAACATGTATCACACAGTCTACAAAGGCCGTTGACCGAAAACCAGTAACTCTCGATGCTCCCGCCGTCAGCTTCTGTCTGCAACATCAGAGTAGCTCACGCCAACACTGCGTGCCATGGACGCAGTAGCAAACAGGTAATACACGGCCAAACACGCCATCCCCCCAGTGCTCTCTCGACTCACCTCTTCTTTCGACGGCTTCCGCCCCATGCGCGCCTGCAACGTCTTCGTGAAGCTCCGACGAAGCGGGCCCTCGAGCCCGGCCTTGAGCTCGGCGACGTCCACGGATCCGTCCTTGTTCGAGTCAAAGGTGTTGAAGGATCGTTGCGCGTTCTCTCGTCTCTCCCGCGCCTGCTTCTCCTCGAGCTCGGCAGCTTCCGCGCGGAAGGCGGCCGCGGTTTCTCGGAGCTTGGCCGCTCTCTGCTCTGCGACCTCGCTCACCATGCGGCGAGAAGACATGGCCGGCCTTGCCGACGACCGGCGGCGAGCGTTGTGGCGAGTCGCTACGGCGGACGTGGACGACCTGACGGCGTGCTGAGGGTTGGCGAGGGACCACGAGGCTCCACGGCCGGTTGGAGTGACGAAGGCGGTGGTGGAGCCCACGAAGAGGGTGACTAGGGGAACGATGGTAGCGGTGATCGGTGCCATGGCTGCTGCTGCTGCTGTTGATGTGTTGATGTTGTGTTGACAACGGCGCTGCTATGGGCTGGGTGATTGGTGGTGATGGATGAGAGTGGTCAGGGTGGGGCGGGAGGTGGGTGGTTGTGTGTGTGCAACACGCAGTTGCTCTCTGTCTCAGTGGGCAGTCAGGAGTGGGACCGTCAGAAGTTGCGTTGGTGTTTGGTTGCTGTTGCCTCTGACTGGGCGGGACGGTCAGACCAGTCAGACCCCGAACGGACCGCGTTCCTGCAGCATACTAATTTCAGTATGTTTCGCTGACACACAAAACGCGGAGGAACCGGGCATGACGTGGAGGAACTTCTCACCAGCTTCTGACTCTGAAGCGGAGACATCTTTGGGAGTGTGGCCGTCACTCGCAACGCACAGCAGACCTTCTGACGGTTCCACTCCTGACTGCCCACTGAGACAGAGAGCAACTGCGTGTTGCACACACACAACCACCCACCTCCCGCTCCACCCTGACCACTCTCATCCATCACCACCAATCACCCAACCCATAGCAGCGCCGTTGTCAACACAACATCAACACATCAACAGCAGCAGCAGCAGCCATGGCACCGATCACCGCTACCATCGTTCCCCTAGTCACCCTCTTCGTGGGCTCCACCACCGCCTTCGTCACTCCAACCGGCCGCGGAGCCTCGTGGTCCCTCGCCAACCCTCAGCACGCCGTCAGGTCGTCCA